AACTCTGACAGGCTCGGTGCTGTAACCACTTCCCTGGGGAGTGTGTTCCAGTGACCAAGTAAATCATTATCAATACTTTTTTATTATGCAGTACAAAGACAAGATTCATGCTGTTTGTACCCAGGTGCCTGCTGTTGTGTGAGTTGTTTTTTTTTTGTAGCCACCTTTTTGTAACTCATTTTGTATGTTAGTAATAAATGCTTCAGTAGCCAAAGTCTGTCTCCATTTCAGTGGTGTTTAAAACAAATGTAACTTGCTGTTCTGTGACTCCTTCAGACTGGGTCTAGCAGAAAGCAAGCTTGAAATGCAAATGAAGTAGACATGTATTGATGTGTGTGTATAGATGGGCAAGTTACTGCTGTAGCATTTCCTTCCTCCGTTTGAGTTCCTGTGCACCCTTCCATTCAGTCTTAGCTTTACTGCTGCTTTTTTGGTTATTGCTATTGCTTACCTGTAATGATGACCTAAGATGTGAGCTGGTGGATGTTCTAATATTGATAAGAGAAGTATATGGACAAAAAAAAATCCTGTTGTGCCTTCACAGCAGGTGTCCTGTGTGCATGAGACCACCGGTTACCTTTGGCTGCTGGCTGCCTATGAAGAGTATATACTTCTCATCTGCAAACACCTGTTTAACTTTACCCTCTTTTGAACTTGAGTGACTAACACACATTAACACTCAGCTACTGGGGTGGAATTTTTCTCAATAAATCCTATGAATCCCTCCCCTGGAAGAGAATTACAGTCACCAAGAAATAAGCTTTCTTGGTTTAGGGCTGTCCAGGTAGGTTTTGTGTCTGTGTTCTTAATGCATGCCCTCTGCAACTTTTAAGTTGAAATCATTTAGTTTAGCAATGCTGGCCACCATTTTCAAAGAGGTCACCAGATAGTGTGAAGCAAAGATGGAGTTCAAAGGAAGCTTGTCACCTAATGCCATGTTGCTACATGGAACAATTCCCCCACCTGGTAGAAGGTGGGCACTAAAGCAAATGGTGTTGTCTAGCCTTCTCATGTAAGAAGGCTTGCCTAAGCTGTTAAGTTGGGGTTGGTCTAGAAGTGTTAGGAAGACTGTGTTTTAAGCACAATATTAAACAAAATGGTAATGACACAGGATTCTGTTACTTCCAACTTTAAATACTTGCATTTTACAAGGGGATAGTTTAACATGAAATTAACACTAGATGGTGAGATACCTTTTTCCAGCTATGGCCTGAGTTAGGACTTCTGGAATTCTTTCAGCAATTAGTTCTGCTTACTTCTAAGTATTGAGTGAGTCCAGACAGAGTATATCCTTTTTATCCCAATTTGTAGTAAAATTTTTACAGTGCATAAACTGTTGTAGAGGTGCTCGGGAACAGGATGGGACTAATCAGATCTGGGAGCAGCTGGCAGTTCAAAGAAGGGAATTCCCATTCTTACACATGTTTTAAAATCTGAAGGCTGTGGGCCTTCATTCTGAGGTGATCAATCAAATAGGATATTCAAACTGTTCACTGTGTTTTGAGAACTGAGAAATGAACGGCACCATCTAGTATTAATGCAAGAGCAATACATCCTTCTGTTCTGCCTTAAGTTGCAATACTGTTTTGTACTCTCTTAGATGGTTGTCCAGCTTTACTAAATGTCAGCAAGCAGAGGAAGTAGAAAGTAAGGAAAAACATTACCAGCCTACACCTTCAAATAATTTCTCCCTCACCGTGCACTGTTGGGTCACTTCTGTGTAAAAGTTATGTTCACTTCTGACAGCTGGCTTACAAATGGTGGCTGTAAATAGAGGAACGCCTGGTTAAATGTGAACCTAATGGTTGGGCTAATAGCCTGTTACACCAAAATGCTGTACACAGGTTCGTATATCATGCTGTTGTGGTGTGTCGTCGTTTCTTTGGATCCTGCTCGGCCCTGAAAGTGTGTAAGTTTCTATCCTCAGCCTCAGCAGAATTAGGAAGCCTTCTTGGAGAAAGAGGGGGCTGAATAATAGCAAATCAGTACATTTCTGATTTACTGTATTGGGTAAAAGTCCCTGGATTGACATTAATAGGCTCACCTAATAAGGACATCACTGCATGTTTAAACTAAATTGCAACAGTAGCTTGCATGCGTATCTTGCTGTAAGCTAGTACAGCATATCCCTAGAATCTTCTAATTACAATTACAGTTAGAGTGATTATTAAAATGTCCTCTGGAGGCAAGAGTGATGTAGACACCTTCCAAAGCCACCTTTTTTTTTTTTTTTTTGCCACAGAGTATTGAAGCTGAAGTAATAATTCCTGAAAACCTCAAATAGAAGGAGGAAAACCTAAGAAATTAACAGAGTAGAGCCTGCTCATAAGTTTTTCCTGCCATCTTACCTGTTTCTCTATAACTGCATATCAAACAGCATCAGCTACACTGATCAAATAGCTCAGCTACACTGCACAGAAACTTGCTTGCTCTTGGGCTAGAAAGCTATGAAGTCTCTCTAGATCTTTTCAAAAAAGATAAGACCAGATGTGCTGAAAATTACAGGAAATAGTTCGTCATATATGTGTCAAGGCAGATAAACCAGATGAAATGGAACAGAGTGCCAAAGGCTGCACGCAAAATCTGGGATAGTAAAGTTTAGAATACTAATGAAGTAATTATCACTGGTAAGATTATTTAGGGTTTATTTATAATTCAGAAAATGATTGTTTGTCTTCAAGAGATCATTCAAAAATCATTCATGCTAGTTGAAACTACCCCTTTCCAGGCTCATTTAACAGAGAACTATTATTCTATCATGCTGATAATATTTTTCTACAAAAGTTTTAAATATATGCCTTTGTAAATACCTCCATATGGTATAAAAGTTTTGGAAACACATATTTATAGCAGCATGCACATTGGTCAAATCCAAATTACAAAATCTGTATAAGAACTGGAGTTGCAGGGGTATAACTAGTTTGCCTCAAACTAAAAAAAGGTGGAAAGCTTTTGAAACCTCTTCCATTCCTTAAGATGACTTTTTTCCAATAATCTTATCCAAACTGCAACTTACAGTAATACTATATAGCTAGTAAAATAGGTGAAAGTGTTTGGAAAGGGTTTGATTTATCTCTCTTTATTTAAAAAAAAACAAAAACAACCCAAAGCCACACTTCCCCCCCCCCCAACTTATCTAAGCCATCTAATTTAAAAGAGAAAACAGAACCTAACTTATTTTTAAGCATGATCTGTTGGTCATTTACATGATCAGAAAGTCTTATGTGCAACAGCTTGCACTTAACTAAATGCTAAAAACATTTAACAGTGTTTTGTTAAATGTATTTCTTTTCACACTCAGAGGGGAATTTTATTTCTTTTGGATAATACAGTCTTTGATGACTCAAAATAAGTGCTTCTGAAAGTGTACAAAGTAAGAACCATCTCTCAACTGCAAGTGGCTCAGTTCTAAAAATACATTAAGGAAGAAAAGAAGGATTAATTAAAAGTTAAGTTAGCATTGACATTAACATTTGTCTATGAAGACAGCAAAATACTGAAGTATGTTTTGCACTATTCTTTGTAACTGCATCTTAAGAAGACGAGGAGTCATATCTGGCCTTATTCTTTGTTGCAAGAATTTACTTACTGCTTTGTTTCAACTTCCTATCAACTGTGAACAGTGGTATGGAACTGAGGGTCCTTTACCTAGGCAAGCCCATAACACCATGGGCTTTGCATTGTTTTAGTTAGACTGGTGCAGATGTCAGAACATGCTATTCCTATACAATTCAGCATGTTCAAAACTGAGATAAATCCTACTGACATCAACCCTATTTTACTCTGATGCTGACAGATATGGTCCAATTTGAAATTCTTTCATGACTATGAACATTTTACTAGTATGTTAAAGGAGTCAGGTGCTTATAATGTGTACATTAAAGACATGAAGAAAGCGTAAACTTAAATTCAAACAATTAACCTGTCATCAGTAAGAACAACATGGATATAAGTAATAAAAGTGTCTTAAACCTAGGATATGGTGAAAATTATCACCGGTCAGACACAATTACTGAACTGTGCCCTGCTAAATGTAAATACAGAATAAAACAACTTGTTTAAACCATCCCTTTGGGCACATTTTTAAATGAGTTTGCATATGGACTGCTTGGCCTTAATCTTGTTTGGATATGCCCATTTGTATTGCAGTATGAAATACAGGGTCATGTGCTGATAATGGGAAAACTTGTTGATTTCTTTAAGTGCAGTAATTAGAGTCTTAGGTAAACCGCCATAAGCAGAAAGATGCAAGATAATTCTCGCTGGCAGAAATATGTGTTTTCCCCCATTCCTAATGCCTTTTGATTTTTTTAGGAAAGATTATTGATCTTATTTTGATCAAGCTGAGGTTCTCAAAGTGGTCTATGCATTTCATTGTATTCACACTAGTGCCTGATAAGTAACATACTGCTTAAATTCTTCTGAAGCACAGTTCTAATTAATATTTTAATTAATATTTATAAGTCCCTGGTACCCTACGGCTTCCTACTCTCTAAGAAACTGAGTGATTCATGTTCAGCGCTTCAGTACTATCTACAACCTGATAGCTGAAACAGTAATCCCTTTATCCTTTGATGTGTTCTCTGTTCTTCTGGCATGTCTTCATAGCAAGCAAAGCATAGATTTGTCTTGCATACTGTCTTTCATAAAAGTAAGTCATATACAAGGTTAGAGAATTCATTAAAACTGCTTTTCCAGTCAGCACTGAGTTTAACTTACACAAATGCCTAGAAGCCTCTTCAAGTTGTTGCTTCTTTCTACATGCAGATCCAAAGTCCTGTCAGCATGCAGCAATTGTTATGTGGTGGTGCTGTGCCAGGTTCCAAGTATGTCACATCACCAACATTAAAGTTAACCATGAATCAAACTATAGATATAAGTATTTTTCACTTGGGGCAAAAAACTTTTGGTTATGACTAAATTGCTTAATTATATCCCATTTTTCAGAAGTGCCTAAGTAATCTAAGTCCTCCTAAGGGGACTTAAGGGTTGGGACTTAAGCTTCTAAGTATCTTAGCCAACATTTTTAGAAGTGTGTAACATCCATATATCCACTAATGTCTCTGGCAGTTCCCAAAACCTGGCGCTGCTTAACAGTACAGAATACTTACTATGCATGCAATTGCAACAGATGCCGAAGTGGGATTGCAGTTCCAGGCATTTGTTTCCTCAGGAAAGGTTTGATGTGGTGGGCAGGCAGAGCAGTACAGAGAATCCATATCAAGCTCCTCAGGGCAGGCTCCTTTGTAGACCCCATTGCTCCCAAGGAAAGAAGAAAGGCAAAGTAAGTTTAAAAACTTCCTTTCTTAATTTTCCAGTCACCAGTTTCACTACACTCCACTAAATTCAGAAATTCAGCTCTGTTCCACCTCTACTATAAAATCCTGCCTCCTAAGGAACTGATGTACATCTTTTGTGTTGTAGTATTTGGTCTGTCTTAGTGCTGTGTGTTTCGTATGTGACTCAGCATATTTCACTCTGTACCCAGTATTTTGTGTCTGATTTCTAGAGATGCTGAGCATCTTTGCCTCATTGTTTCAGTGAGGAGTACTGCACAAATGTATTTAGTTTTACTTTTAAATTGATTGAAATTTCATTCCTATGCAGGTTCCAGATTTCACTATTACAGACCTGTCTTCAGAGTCAGATGATATCCCAGACATTTTGGATTTGGATGAAGATGATCAACAAGACTTTTCACGCACAAATGGCCCCTACACTACGGGGCAAAGAGCTGAATAAAGAGAAGCATAACAATGTCTTTTTGATACAATGTACTTTTGCCATGTTTAACTTATATTTCTCCTTTTTAAAGATGAACCTGCCTAGCTTAGTGATTTTGGGGATATTTTTTTTAATCACTGCTGTTTCACTTAGCTGCATCAAAATGCTGTTTTCTTTCCACCTAAGGAATGCATGCTGCATTGATTCATTAGCATGGGTGTTAAGCTCCCATTCTACAAGCCAGGTGTATCCAATTGATCAAATCTTTGTCAATGTTCTGCTGGCAGCAGCCATAAGAACACTCCAGTGCTTTGCATAAAGGGCTGCCAACAAAAGGAGTGGATGAGGATTTGCCCACAAAGTTTTCCCTTTCAGTCTACAAGAAAAAGCACTTCTGCATCTACCTCTTTGCTGCTGGAAGGGGTAAGAGACTTCGTCTGTCTCAATTTCTTTTTGTTAGGCTCTGTACCTACAGAACTTAGAAGCTTAGAGCTTCCCTTTGGCAAGAGTGCTTTATGCACAAATGGACTCCCTATCTCTCTACATGCCTTCTGTGTGCAAAAATTTTAGCCATCCTAATGCTATCAGTTGTGCAGACCTGAGAATAGAGGAGGGTAAGTGCTTAAAATGGAAAGTTTTCCAGGAATAAGGATGACAGTTAAAAAAGAAGGGGAAGAGACTGTAAAAAGTAAGGAAAAATGCAGGGCAAAGAGATACAAACAGATGTGGTATGAAAGAAAATAGCAAAAAGAAAGAGAACTGAAGGTAGGGATACTTCTGGTGATGGTGATGATATTTTTCTGTTTAAATAAAATCTCCATCAAATATTTGCTAAGGAACGTTGAATCCGTGTTTGCTTGCACACAGTGACTTCTGCAGGAGTTGGGGACTGGACCGGGGGCAGGCTTGTTCCTTTTTTTCCCCCCAAGGATCAGGCTGAACTCCTTCTGTGGAGATCTTCTTGATGTCGTCGGGGTGACTGTGGCAAGTCTGGAGATGTTGCACAGTGTTACTTCCCACAGCTGCGAAAAAGTTGCTCGGCAGTTGGTATAGCTGCGAGGTTGGCGCCTCTGCTCTCCCGCCATGTACCTTGGTTGTTGTGCAAACTTTGAAGTCTAGTCACTGAAATGCCTTGGAATAAAAGTTTGAACCGCATAGCCTGCTGCCAGTGTGAGTTTTACTTGACTTTCGTGTTAAATTTTGTAATCCGATTACAAAGTAATTAAGGACGTTGAGGTGCTGGAGCATGTCCAAAGAAGGGCAAGAAGCTGGTGAGGGGTCTGCAGAATGAGTCTTAAGGGCAGTGGCTGAGGGAACTGGAGTTGTTCAGTCTGGAGAAGAGGAGGCTGAGGGGAGACCTTGTCGCTCTCTACAACTACCTGAAGGGATTGTGGTGAGGTGGGTGTTGGTCTTCTTCTCCCAAGTAAATAGCAATAGGATGAGAGGAAATGGCCTCAAGTTGCGCCAGGGGAGGTTTAGACTGGATATTAGGAAATATTTCTTTATTGAGAGAGTGGTCAAGCATTGAAACAGGCTGCTCCGGGAGGTGGTGGAGTCACCAACTCTGGAAGCATTCAGAAAAGGTGTGGACGTGGCGTTTCAGGACATGGCTTTAATGGGCATGCTGGTGTTGGGTTGCTGGTTGGACTTGATGATCTTAAAGGTCCTTTCCAACCTTAAATGAGTCTGTGATTTTACGATTGTAAGATACCCGGCACGGCCCTCTGGAAGCCGCCTGAGCCAACGGCTGCCCAGGGTGCCACGCCCTCTCCCATCCCCTCACGCTGCCCGCGGCCTCCTCCGGGCGGGCTT